TGATTTGCAGCCAACACGCACCACTTGCGCACCATCGCTACGAATGTACATACGAAATATTTACGACAGCTGCTTGTGAAATTTAATTCAGCTAGCCCGGAAAGGTCCAGAACTTCTTATACCATTGAATGGGAAATTTATGAAGATGTTTCGAGAAGAGCCTATCATATAAAAAAAATACAAGTTTTGCATGTATTTAAAAAGCTTGAAAATTACAAGTTAAAAATTTAATGACATCTTTGTTTTGAATAAAAATGTATGTACACTAAAAATATTTAAGTGACTACCGTGCACCTCAGATTTGTTCTTAATCACCTTAAATGCAAAAATTGCTGTTGGTGAAAAATTTCCAAATAATGTTGGAATTCACACTAAAATTAAATCTGATAATTATAATTTAATTTTTAAGTTCAAAAGGCAGGTTTAAATATTTTTTAACTTATGCATAAGTATAAAAAATATTATTTTCATGTAAATAAATAGCAAAAATCAAAGACGATTGTATATTTACGTACAGAACCGAGAGATTGAAGGATCTGGAAGGGACAATAAGAAGTACTTAATTACATTTTTACTCGAGCGAATTGAAATACCATAAAATTCAATCTTTTTTCTAAATTGGGAAAAAGTATGTAAAACTCTAAAACCTAAAAATCTGCGATAGCTTTGAGATTAATCATTAGTTATTTCTTGAATTTCCATATTTTTTCATTAAATTCCATTTTTTTTTTAACTTGTTAAGAATAAATAATAAATTGAGCTATTTCTGCAAGTTGCAATTCTCGGGAGCACACCAGTGAAGCATTTTCTGCTGCTCTAATTATCTCGTCTGAAAATACCACACCCACACACGCATATTGCTGCTGGCTCGGCGTTTATATGTACATGTGAAAGAGAGACAGAAAAAGTGCAGGATGACGAGTGGCGAGCAATTCATCTTTCGCGCGCCGTTTGGTAATGCGCGTGTTACGAGCAGGCTAATTAGTCACAAGGCGGCTCGTAAAATAGCGCAGCGGCTCAACTTTGTAGTGCGCGCCCAGATTATATTGAACATAAAGTTTAAAGGGCAAAAAAGAGCGATGCACATTGTGTGCCGAACGAGACGCGCCACTCATTTCTCACCGCATTTGCATCTCACCCCTGGCATATTCGCCTCTCGACGCGCGCGGCTTAAATTTTCACGCTGCGTTTACCGCCACTTTAAAGTCTTCAGCTCGTTGATCATTTTAAAAAGCACTCTAATGTCATTCGCGATGGCGTGTTGCAAAATATATAGGCTCGATTTAACTCTCAGAATTAAAGCGACGTACATACAAAATTATTAAATTTAGAGATCAGGTTTAAAAGAAAATGTTTATATATTAACTGAAATCAAAAATAGAACTAGCTCAACCACCATTACTAAAATCAATTTCTTAACTGGTGAATAAAAACTTGCAAAATTGAGCTCTAAAATTCATTATGGCAATGGATTCAAAACATATGAGAGTTTGGTGAGAATTTTGCTAAATCCTCTGATTGTGAGATCAAAAAGACCCCCATCCCCCGAAGTAAAATTGGCTTCTCATGTGCCTTTCCTTTGGAAATCAGTTCTATTTCCTCAAATGTCTTTTACGTTTAATGAATATGAAATTTAAATATTATTGCAAAAAATAAAAAATAAACAGGTTCCATTATACTTTTATTAAACTGAGCTAAATTCTTGGCCTAGAATGCCGATAACTTTAGAAAAAAGATTAATTAATTAAATGGTTATCAATTTCTAATATTTCTTCAAATTATTGATGAAAAAAAATGTTTATTATAAGACACATCATGCTCCTAGACTAATGGTAAAAGTAGAAGTAGTTTTTTATCAATTAAAAAATAATAGTACCCTATATGAAAAATAAATTTAGCTTTGATATAGATGTAAACTCAAAATGAAAATATTTTGGATGATTCTTTTTAAAATCGAAAGTTGTTGGATTGCATGTCAAAAAGAAAACAATGACACGAAGGATTACATTGGATAAAATTATAAACCCGTATTTAATTTTTAAGGAAGAATCGAAGTAATAAGTGGTTGCGCAACACCGTGACTTTTTGTTACAAGGAAGTGGTACGAACAGTCCTTGGTGTGATTAGCGAAATCTGAAAGTTCAGAGGAGGCGCGGGTGTGGAGGCCCGACTAGAAAGACACGCCAAGAGAAAAAAAAGAGCCCGAGCAGAGAGCCTGTGGTTCAACGACCTCGGGGCAGTGGCGCGCGAGAAAGAGATGAGACGCCGGCCGACCGGCAGCCAAGCAGCTACTCAGCCTCCCAGCCCCATGCTCGTCTCGAACACACACACACCACTGACGTCAACACAGGGCCAATAAGCCACCCCCGCAAATGAGCCCCAAGCACGCAGTCTCACTTTTGCTTTTGCTCTCAAATATGAAAGTCACAGTCATGAAATTAATTGCATAAAAAAATTAAAAATAATGTCGATAAATTTAATACTGAAACCAAAAAGCTGCAGTTTAAATACAAAATAATTAAGTATTTTAAATAAAATAAAATCATATTAGTCTCTTGGTGATTTACATAAATTATATTTATGAATTATGAAATTGTAGAACCCAAATTCACAGTGAGCTAAATTCAGACGATTTAGCAACAATAATATTATTTGCTAATGTAGAAATGTATAGGACTTTAATTTTAATTAAAAGGAACAGATAGACCAATTTAAAAGTGCTAAAAGAGGTTACAGAAATTTCATGTTATTATACACTTCAATCTTAAAAATTATGATTATTTAGTAAATAAATAATCACCATTTAAGGTATTTTATAAATTAATAATAAAAAGGTAAATAACATACACCTATAATTATCTTAAAATGGAGATGGAACTGTTATATAATTTAGGTGTTACTACTTTTCGTGTGTCCTATTACAATTTAATTGAATTAAAATATGATATAATTTTATAGCTAATAAGCAACAGAGCTGAGCAAGATGTAAAATATTTCATTTGTTAAAAACATCATTAACAACACAAAAATATACATTAATAATTTTTGTTCAATAAAAAAATTTCACAAAATAAAACTGAAAGAAAAAAAATAAATACCAATTACCTATAGGTAATTATAGATAATTATCAGTTTATTTAAAAAAATAATAATAAATACAATACAAGTTATTGTTGTGTATTACAAAAATGAAATTAAATGCGTCAGATTGTTTAATACGTCATTATGTAATAACGTAAATATAGTAAATTTAATTATTATTTTAATTTCCTTTTAGCTCTAATGAAGGCTTGGGTAATATAAAGTAAAAAACATTATAATTTATTTTAAACATCTATTAATCTTTGCAGTTTAAAAACAAAAAATTCATGTATTGAAAGGGTTAAAATATGCGGTTCCCCTGATATTTGAGCACTGGATTTTTTTCCGTTTATTCTTATATTCTTGAAAAAATATAGAAATTTAATTTGTTAAGTTTTTGATCAAGCAAGATGAAAAGTAAATGTTGCTACTTTGCTACTTATTTTGCACAGCAATTTCAAAATATGCAAAATTACACGTTAGACCAAGAGAGAGCGGCGCGTTTTGAGAGTGAAGCATCAGCGAGCTGCAATTTTTTATGCAAATCGAGAGGCAACTGCGCGGCGTGTCGGTTGCATAATTAGCCCGACGTGAAAAATAACAACGCCCTTGTGCATGGCTCTGCTCGCGCGGCGTGTTTTCCAATCTGCCGAAATTGCAGCATTGTTCTTGACTCTGCAGGTTGATGACTCCGACCAACTCTGCGGCCTCAAAACGGCGCGCCAAAGGAAGCCACTTTCACTTTTTAGCAATATTCACGTATAGAGATAGAGCGAAACCCGGTGCAGCTTTTTTAGTGCCGCGGCCAAATCTTGTGCAATTGGACAATGAAAAAAAAAGCGAACGCTCACTCGCAGACCGCGGCGCGCGGAGTCATTCACCCGCTGGCCCCGAAAACGCTCTCAGGCCGATTGTGTGTGTTTGCACTTCGTTTCGTGCGTCGCGTCCCAGAAAGACAAAACCGGCGGCTCGTTTCATTTTTTTTCAGGTATTGATAACCATTATTTTTCTGTGCGCAATTCAGCAATACGATTGCTGATAACAAGCATAAGCAGGTCAATTGCTTATAAATAATTTTTTTCAGAAATATGATGCTTGATGCTGGCAAAAGGACATTGTCAGAGATTAATTGATTTGAAGACAATTAATTGCTTTTATTTTGACATAAAATGCCCAAAATATGGTAGTAAAAATTAAATTTGAAATTTTTGTAATGTTTTTACTTTTTTATATTAAATTTATTCTTGTACCACAGTTTTTGTAATTGTTATATAATGTAAAAATTTTAAATTATGCATCTTTCTAATTTTTTTTTAGATATAATGTGTATGAGTTCACGTGTGGGGCAAAGTTTTCCTTACTTATGAACCCAACCCCAATAAAATTTCCTTTGCAGCCAAATTTACATCATTTTACATGACAGTTTTCATACTATTCAGATATGACTAACCACTGTAAATTTTAATCAGCGCAGCTTTTGTGAAGGATGTAGAAGGATAAATTGTAAATAAATAAATTATTGTTTTCAACTCTAAAATTAATAAAACTGGCAAACTAGTTTATCGAGTTGAAGGACGTCCTCTCATAACACCTAATTTAAATATCCAGTTTAATTAAAATTGATAAAGTTCTGCTATCATTGAAAATGAAATTCACTTTCCTCAATCGGATCGGTGAACGACTAAATTCCTTTGGTATTTATATAAAAATTGTGATTGTTGTTATTCAAGCCCTTTGTTGCGACGCGAGCTAATTAATTATATTTCCCACCGACGACTGATTACGCGACTGATGATGGGAATCAATAAGCGTACGATTTTTGAAACGCCAGAGAGGGAATCTGGTTGATGGAATAAAATAATGAACGTTCGGCGAGGTGTGTTGCGTCTGTGAGCGTTTTGAGGTCAGCTCGGGGGAAAGAGAGGCAGGCGTGCAATAACAGCGGAGGCAGCGATCGGCGGCACGGATTACGTCAAGTGGCTGCTGTGGCCTTGTCCTAATGGCAAGTTCGTTCACCCTACGGCTGGCCTTGTGTCACTACTCGCTAACTCCGACTCTGCATCCTCCACCCTTCCACTCATTCTCCTGACAGCACCCGCAAAACTGGGTCAACAATATAATAAGTAATTTAAATATTTTATTCGACACTGTTAAAATTGCATGGTTTATAGAAAATAAATTATTTGGATTAAAATCATTGAATCTTTATAATTTGTATAATTTGTGTCTGAAAGTTACACTTGTGGACTGATTTAGCCTTACTAGTGGCACCAATTGATACGAATTTGTGATAAGCTCAATAATATTTTGACGCGCTGATCAGATTTTTTTTTTAAGTAAGCATCAAATTAATTCGTTGCCATATGAATACCAAAAAAGACTGAGATCTACTATTTTTATTTAAAAATTAAAATAAATGCTTTTTATAGTTTTTTTTAATAAACAATTTCTAAACTTTGTTGTATAGCAAAAGAAAAAAGCTATGTGAGAGGTTATTACTATTTATCAGTCAGGATTTGTGGATACTTTCAAATCGAATCGTGCCTGAAGAAAATCGTATTGTTCAAAATATACGTTATATGTTATTAATTAGAAAATCTAGTTTTCTAATATAATTTTTGATCCTCAGACTAACTATGGTGGAAATTATAATTGGGAAGAAGAGAAATATTTAAACGGTAAGAAAATGAATTTTCCTTAGTTTAACTCTATAAAGTTTAAACTTTTTGACATCATGTAGTACACACTATGAACTATAATTATTAATTATATTATAAATAATAAATTAGATTCATTTCATTGATTTTACTTTTTTGTCAATCAGGAAGTAGCAGATAATTCAATTTACACAAAAAATAATGATAATTCACTACACTTTCTCCATAGCTGTTCATTCCCAAGTTTTTGTCTGTGAAGTTGAATTCTGACGAGCTTTTCAAGCCGGCGAAAAAATCGCACGCTGAAAGTGAAAGGCGGCGGTGGCGGCAGAGAGCAATAACTCTTTGTGAGCAGCACGGGAGATTCTCAAATATACTCGCCGACTTGGCTGATTAATCGGCCGACCGACAAACTGTGCAAATAAACAAACAATGCAGAATACTTTTCGTAACGCAAGACAAAAGCTCTCGAGTGAGATCAAACGAGCAGTTGAACTTTTTATTATTCACCCAAAAAATCACGTGTGGTTTTTTCAAATTTCTTAAACAAGACTTGGGAAATCTAGAGCATTTCATTGAATTTTTAAAAAAACAGTTACATTATGAAGCCGAATTCCAATTTTTTAATAATTATTATTGTGAAATGTGATTTATTGATATTATTATAACTACCTCTTTTTCTACAATTTTAGAAACAAAAAAGAAAATTAAAAAAAAAAATTCTTCATTTCATGAGTTCGTACTATTTTCATCCTATTAAAATTTCATAAACACTCATTCTGCGCTTTAAGCAAGAGCCTAGCCCAACCTGAGTAAGGTTGAACCTGACTCTGAAAGTAGGCATTTGCTAGCGAGCTCTGCAGAATGTATGCAACCGTGCCAACAAGACCGTCGCGATTGTTGCATAGTCAACAGGCAAATCAAAATTCTTAGAAATTTTCAAAGCTTGTTTAAGAATTCCCAGAAACCACAAAAATAATTTTGCAATATTCACAATTCTTTTTAAACTGATTAAAATTTATATAATTTTTCAATAGAATAAGAGCATTTGGAAAAGTTTAGATATTATTCAAACCGTTAAACAAATTAATTCAAAATTGATAAAAAATTTGGAGCATCAAAAACAAAATAGAAGGCTAATTAATCTCGGTTGGATAGCAATGATTATCGCTTAATTTATTTACAAACAAGTAAACTTAAGAATATTAGAATAATTTTGATTTTCAATCAAAACATTTATTGCTTTCAAAATCTAATGTCTTCTAACAACAATATATTGACAAATTTTTAAATTGTATGTTACTTTTATATAACCAATAAAATAAAATAAATTCCAAAAAGTATATTATTTAACATTTTTTTTAACTGTTGTATTTTTATGCTTTTGCTGTAGCATAAGCATTAATGTTAAATATATATATTTAAAATACTGAAACCAATTAAACTTAACCAATTTGAATTTATATTATGGTGTTGAAACAGGTGTTTGAATGAACCTGCGAGTTTATCCATTCCATCCAGTTCAAAGATTAAAAGTTACGACTTGAGCTACCGAACTCACTCAACAACAATGGACTGCGCAGCGGCCAAGCGACAACTATAAGAGGAATATTTTAACTGCCGTGTAAAGGAACACACAATCGAATTCCGTCCACGTACAAGACAAGCAGGTACGTAAATATAATTGCTCAATGAATCTCAATGAAAGTGAAAAGTTGTGTGTGAGCATGCAACTAATAGCATTAACATATTGGTACTGTTGTCCACGTTTGCAGCTGAACAGTGCAATGAACTCTATTTTTAACCTCAATAATATTTCCAATTATCTGAAGGAGAAATCCACAAACTATACAAAAATTTATTGAAATTTGTTTGGAAAATTTAATTTTTAGAACATATTTTTATAAACAGCTAATTTTCATGCAGGGTAAACAATAATTTTTTAAGCCAATTTATTCTAAGGAAAAATAATACAAAATCCGTTTAATGTTTGCAAGGTCATACACCAAGAAACCATAAGTAATGTGAATTATTAACAGTCACACCTGATAGCATAAGAATGTATTAATAACCGCACATGTGCATATACAAACCGTGTGCATTGCACTTTTACTTCTTCTTCTTCTCCTCCTCGACAACACACCAAACATCATAAAACAAACTCCGTTTACGCAAACAATCCATTACATAGAGCTGCGTTATCGCGCACACACTCTTCAAAAGACACAATTCACTCTCACTGCAGCATTCTCTAAATTTAACCACGTAATTAACCACTTTGATTACAAAATTGCTGAACTTGTTACTTTCAATATTAGAAGATGATTTTTTTTAACTATTTTTTTCCAAGTATTTTGCATCAAGTTAATATGGTACTTTATGATGTATATTATTAAATTAATTTAAAGTATAAAAATTTGCCAAATAAACTTTTTTAAGTATATAGCTATAGTAAATTATTTTTTAATAAACTAATAGTGCAAAATTATTATATGTTCATCGGTAATTTCCTTATTATAAGTTTAGTGTACATGATATTAACTCCATACAAAGTGTGCTCAAAGTCAAGAAAAGAATGATGTATTTGAGGTTTGGCAGGCCTTGCTATATAATTAAATAGCATTCATATTCCACTACAAGAAACGCGGCCTAATACACCACGCAGTACTTTACTCCTTAGACCATAACAAACGCACGTCAAGGTCACATGCGAAGATCAGCTCCATGGAAAAATACTATGTTATGGGAGATAAACGGAAATTATAAAAAAAGACGTTGAAAAGAAAATAAATAAAGATAAAAAATACATATATCGAGTTGTTATACTAAAAAGGGAAATGAGCAAGAATGAAATTTTTACATACTTGTTTAGTGATATTTAAAATTTAACATTACCTTTATACTGTTTCTGTTCATTAACAAAGACATTTGAGACAGGTGCATTAACGGTGAAAATTGGGTGCAGGAACAAGGAAGCAGTTTTGGGCACGCCCCAGGGAACCCCTTTTTCTCCCGCGTCTTGAGTGCGTCTCTAAACTCATCTTTCTGGTACACTAACCCTGCAGAGCCCCGAAATCGACGCGGAAGCAGGGAAACGCAACTTTGAGACGTCGGCCCACACGCACAAGACGCTCCCTAATGGAGTGACGACTTTGCTTATCTACGCCAAGAAGACTAATTGGAAATCACATTATGGCCAGCAAGGGTGCGTGGGCGGTAATGCGATCGCCACATGATACCACCAATTTTTTGCTCAGACAGAAAAATCCTTTGAAAAAAAAAATGTTATTTCCAGATTGGGTTTATCTGCGAAATGCATCAAAGTGCATTTGCATAATATGTAGATGGTTTTCGCGACGTGTTGGCCATAGGAGTTCGTTCCTCCCAGCATTTGGACTTGCTCGAGGAATTCCTCTGGCTTGAACTTCCGCAAGAGTGTGATAACGAGCTTTGAAATGCTTGATCAACGTCACGTGGGGAAAGATATGAGAAGAAAAGGTCGCTCGTGCACAATATAGTAGTAAAAATAAAAATATAAATGAGAAAAAAATTCTGCATTTTTCATATCAAAGGTCAACCGAATTAATTCCTTGAATGTTTCTTAAGGATGAAGCCTGATATGGAAAAAAATATATTATTGTGGCGAGAGGTGACTTATTTTCTTAATAAGTCAATTCTGTGGATGAAAAATTTCAAGTCAATGCAAAATTGTTTTTATAAAAAATTGAGCTTTTAAATATTTTAAAGCAATATATTTTTTACTTCCTTAAACATTTTTTATTACTGATCAGAATATACAGATGGTTATTTAAAAGTTTAAATAATATAATATAAAAAAGCTTAAATTTTACAGACACATATTTTTTTTTTAAATTTAATTATTTTTTAAATCCCTATTATATATTTCAGTTAGTTTTAATATAAATTTACAAATTTTTAAATTATATAGTCTGATTCAAATTGATCAAGATACAAATGAAAAATCTGATTGCAATTATAAATTGGAAGACTTCAGAACCACAAAATTTTTATTGGATTTATTAGAGCCAATAGATGTTCAAAAATCAATATGAATGCCTTTTTAAAATGGAAATAATTAAAACCAACGAGTTTAAAAAAAGATTAAAGAATTTAAATTAAATGATTGAAACGTCACTAAAAATAACTTCATAAAATAACAACTAAAACATCAAAGCAACAAGTTTGAAAATTGTCGAACTTTTATCTAGTTATATAAGGTTTTGGGCTATAAAAAAAGTAAGTGTCAGTTCTTTATCTGGGAGCGGCGCGACCACGAAAATCGCGTCCTCGTGTTTTTCGTGAGTACGGACGGAGGGACGGCGGCGGGGCGGCAGCTGCAATTATCAGCTTGCAATATCTAGGCCGCCAATCGAGAGGTGAACGACCGACAACATTTATAGTTGAAATTAAATGAGAGAGTTTAAAGCAGCTCCTCTCCGCGAGTGCGCACGCCAGAGCAAATGGTCATGTGATCTTCCACTCGCGGCTTGGCAAAGGCAAAGCGGCTTTGCCTTTTCGACCCCCGTCGACTTTTTTCTTCTTTCTTCGCACTATGACACACACACTGTATGTGTCCGACCGTCGCTGCACTTGAAACTCAATCCGCACACCGACGGACGACGAGTGAAAAAAAAACTCATCCTGCGGCTTTTTGCGCGCCTAAACGCGATAATATTCCCAGCCAATGCGCAGGCCACCGACTCGTTTCACGTGCTCTAATGTGTCCACAAATTAAATACTAAATAGATTCATTACAGATTAGAGATTTGTTTTTTATTTAAATTTTGAAATTTCCGGATTGAACTTTGTTATAAAAAAAACATTACTTTTTCACTCAGTTTCAGAATTCCACGTGATTCCACGCTAAATTTTTTCTTTTTGAATTTATAAACCTACAAATCACGGCTAACACCCCATACGATGGATTTTTATTAATCAATTTAATTAAGTCAACTGTTAATTTTGAGTTTCGACAGTATTTTGAAATTTGTATTTCAAGTCCAAAATGTACAACAAATTCAGTTTTTCGATAAAAATTGTCTTTCATTCAATGTAGAATAATTGCAACAAGTTTGAACAAATAAACATCAATAATAATGTACTAAAAATTACTGTAAATACTAGTTTCAAGAGTGTTTTGCGATATAATAATTATATACAATAATGTTAGAGTTCCATTTGAGTGGTTTTACTTCTGTCCCGAATATCAACAAATTTATTGTTTGCAGCTGGTTTGCAGTTTGAGAAATGTATGCATAATTTCTCCATGATATCTAACTTTTCATATCAGGAATTAAAAGATTTTTAAATCAAACCTTTAATAAATCTTGTAAAATAAAATTATTTATATTGATGGAAATTTGAATTTTTTGATGATGACAAAAGAATTAGCATTTAAGTGCTAATACCTCATTAATTGAATTTTAACATTTACATGGAAATTAATGGATAAGTTTTATTTTACAATTAAAGACTTTTGCAACTACTAGAATTTTAGAATCGTTATCTTTGCTAATTTTTTTCTAATCATAAGTTTGCAATCAAAAAGCCAACATGTCACTTCAATTTCCTCTCGTGACGCCACAGAACTTTGACAAACACCATAGCCAGCAATGGCCAACCATATATAGCTTCCACTATTTTATTATATTAGTCAGCAAAAAATTTATAGTTTTTTAATTAAAGTTGAACAAAAAAAAAACAATAAATAAGAATAAATAAATTGGGTGGTGCCTTCTGCACCACTAATAAAGGGCACAGGCTGACACGACTTTGTCTTGGCCTGACCCTAAAAAAAGAAAGAAAAAAGAGTCATTAATTAGTTGGTTAATAGGCTATCAATTACGTTCGAAACAAACGCGATTATTTCACACGCATATTATGATGGTGCCAACAAGCAATAACGAAATCCATCGCGGAAAGTGTCAAAACATTCCTTATGAAATTTTGTGCAATTTTTGTAGGCGGGAAATTATTGTTATTTTTCAACAATGACTCAGAGACTTTCCGCAATTAAAACTTTGACGCAATCGTGCCGAAAAATATAAACCGATCGGCATAGCAGCAGACACGAAATTCACGAAAATAAATGATTTGGGTCACGCCGATAAGATATAAAGCTTCACAGATAAACTTGCGCCTTTCTTAAAAAATTTGGAGCAACTTTTATACAATTAAGAAAAGTCAATCAAAGATTGGAACCGTCAATCTATTTTCTACATATTTTTACTGGTTGAAGTCCGATAACTTAAAACAATTAAAACTTTTGTTCTCGCCATCGGCCTGAGTAATTTCCTTGTGAAATTCCAAAAACATCAGATTTAAAAGGTTATATTCTTCAGGAAAAAACTGACATAAGCGGCAAAATTAAAATATGACGCAAAATCATAACACTGACGGTGACATAAAGTCGTTAGGCATTTTCTCGCTCCTATCGTTATGGTTTGTTATTATTCTTGGTTGCTTATTGCTAAACAAAGAGTGCGATCGTCATTGCACTTTGTTACATTTGTTTGTCGCTGTTCAGCAGCTCACTGTCAGTATAGCCAGCCGATGCGATAACCAGCTCCAATGTGAACTTGACTATTCTAGCAAAATAATATGATGCTGCGTGTCAAGACCAACTCGTTGATGGTGTGCATGTGACGATCAAGCATAAATAATCGCGTGAAAGTTTTTCAGCCAAAATTAGAAACATATTACAATTCTTACTCCAGTTGATGTTTTTGATCAGCTCTATGCAAACGACGTTAAAATACATTATAATAAAATACTTTAAATATTTTGTCAAATTTTGTATGCAATCTCTTAATGCATGAAGAACGCAATAGGAGTTTATTGAAATTTTAATTAATTGTAATTTTTTTTTCAATTTATTTTCATAGCAACACAACTGCACAAAATTGGCAAATGAGGAAGAAATTTTTGTGATATAGAACTTATCAGTTGGAAAAAAAATTATTAAAAATTACAATATAATATTCTCTATTTTCCCTGAAAATATAGAAGCGTAAAATACAACTTTAATTTTAAAGTATAGTATGGTATGTACCGTCCTCTGTAATTATTTACAAACTTGCAAATAGTTTTATCATTCGGAGAAGAAATGAGGCATTTTTGTTCAGAATAATCAGTGGTTTTATCTTTCTGAAGTTAAAAATAACAAAAAATTTTATGTATGCAAGTATGTAATACTTCGAGCCAACGCCAAAATAAATGCAAATAAACTCCATAGTGCATTTATTTTATAACTCCTTATTGTATATTAATTGCACAAGGCATGAGTTAAAATTTTGAAAAGGAAACACATTAACAATTTGGACAAATAAACAACAACAACAATAATAATAATGATAATAATAATAATAACAATTAAGCTTCCAAGTTTTGAGAGCGAAATCGACTGCATATTAGTAAATTTTTGGTCTAATATAATGAATAAAACTGTTTGTCATATGGCTGGCAATAAACTTCAGTGGCGCAGTTAGTAACAAACTGCAGGAAACAAATAATTTTATCCGGATCAGATCAAATAAATGGAAGTTTTGCCAACTTTTTGCTTATCTTTTTAAAGGGGCCAAAAATTTATTTCAACTGTTCTCTTATAGTAGAATTTTCAAAATTATTCACAAAATGAAACATCTCACTAATCCAATAAGAATTAAAAAAAATATCAAACTTTGAAAAAATGATAAATTTAATAATTGAAAAAGAATGTACTCACTTTGTCGTTGTCCAGAGTAATTGTGAAAAATCGGCGAGACGTGCATGGACACCAATATCACTTTTCGCAACAATCCAGTGCCCGGCGCAGTTCTAGACACAACAATGGCGAAGGCGTCCGGAGGGTTGCATAACAGGTGTGTTGGGCGACGCAACTCTTTTGTGTGTCCGTTTTTCTGCGAGGTCCTTGTTTTTTTTTATCCTCAGGGCCGGTTCGGTGGCACGCGAGCAGCGGTGGTTCACGGCGAGGCTTCTGCAAGTGCAAAACAGAGTTCATTGTTAGTGTCAGATTCGCAAGGCGGCCGTTGCAGTTGGGTCTATGCGCAGGCTCATGCACCGCTTTTATGCAACACAACATGCACCTCCCGATGCACTTGAAGGGGTGCATTTTGCAAAACTGCGCAATTTCTCGTCGCCGCTCTGGCAGCGGTCGAACCAAGGAAGGACGAATGTTTTATTGGCTTTTCTTATAATTTGATAAGTTGAAAAATTTAATTTTGGTTGCAGTAAAAATAATAAAAGGGCGCAATTTATAAAAAACAGTTAATTTTATAAGTGCAAGATTTAAATTTTATTTTAAAAATAAATAAGATATTAAAAAATATTTTATACAGAATAATACATTTATATTTTATTTCAAAAATTATTTTACTTTTAATCAATTTTACGCAATTTTAGATATTGCATTTTTTTAAAATTTTTTTACATCATTTAATTTAGAAAAAAAACACTGTTTCACATAGTTATTTATAACATTTAAATTTTTCGAGAACTGTATAAACTTAGATATTCCAAAATTAAGAAATTGATTTGTTCTTCTTCAACATTTTTTCTTGAAATTATTTTTAATTAGTTTTCATTCATTAAATTATATACAGAAATTAGGAAAAGTATGCAAGAAAATGGTAAATGAAAACAATTTTCACTATTCTTAGTATTTTTCTTACACAACAAAAATATCCTTTTGTCAGAGTCACAAAATTAATGAACTCGCGTTAACCATTATCGCCTTGCGTTTTGTGTGAGTAAACAACTTGAGGTTTGCCATTTGCGGTCCATCATATCATGGAATCACCACGAGGTGTCCTTGAATAAAAAATTGAGACTCTTTCGCTCTATCCCATTTGTGTCCTTCATTAGGAGCATATCTGAATATGAAGGCTATTTTAACTACCGCAGAAAATTAAAAGCTTTCGAGTAGATTCCTGATATAAAAATGAATATCTGAAACCCAGATCAAAATACAAATCTTAAGTTTTAGCTCAGAATCTCAATAAAAATATCGTTATTGAAAATGTTAAGCCATAAATTAGTATGCAATTATTGGAAATATTTGTTTATTAAAGAGAATTTCTAAAGTGCAAAGCCAGTTCTTTGTGTATTTGTTTTGTGATGAGACAAACAGGAAGTGGAGTCTTTCGAACTTGCTTAAGTTCAAAAAGTAAATAAATTATGCTGCTATGGATTGAATTTAAATTTTGCCAATTCAGTGTTCACTTTGAACGTGTCTGTCTCGCCCGTAATAAATTATATTGAAAAAAATTCTGATAGTCCATCGGCGAGCTGCTCTTTTCCCTGGTAACCCTCTTTTGCTAAAATTAAGACTTCCTGTCAGTCAATGCCCCTCGGTGCTACCCAACAGCTGCATTACATTCAACGCTCTTTGCGACGACGTGTCTGCGACTCTAGGCACTTCAAAAATAGAAGAAGAAAAATAATCAAATCTAATACAATAATATAAATTGGAGCTTATTTAATTCAATTAAATTTTTTATTTTCTCACCAAAATTGAAAATTGCAAGTACGAAAAAATCAATAAAATTTGAGCTTCTTAGATTTAGCAAATTCATTACAACTATTAAAAGTGATCTAGTTTTGAGGATTGAGAAGTTCCGAGACCGACGAATGGGTTAAGGATGCGCGCGACCTTGCAGGTCAGCCACCCTGCGCGACCATTGATCACGAGAGAGACGCGCGGTCCAGAGCGCGCACTCGAAAAAAAAATCGCACGAGTGAAAGTGACCCGCGAGAGAGCACCAAATCTCTCTGCGTCCGACCTTGGTGCAAAGTCAACGACTGACTAGAGCAAGAACCGCGACTCGTTGTCGGATAAATCAGGAAGCGAAAGAACAATGGGAAGAAATTTAGAAAAAAAAACGAGCGAGAAAAGAGAAGGAGAGAAAGAAGAAGAAAAGGTGTACCTGAGGGCGGCGTAGTAATTGTGTCCTTCGTGATCAGCAGGTAGTGCACATTCATAATTATCACACCGGCACCGAGCTGCTGTTCGGAGCGGAGGCAGAGCGCGGTGTCATTGACCTTTGGTAGAAGCAGCGACTAACACTCGCAGCGCCGGCCGCGGCAGCTCCACAACACACCGCGAGCGCACATACTGTCGCTCGCTGCTCGCCAACTCGAGCTCGCGCACTAGCCCCGACCCGAAGGACTCGCAGCCGCCGGCGGGGAACACGACATCCCGCCGAAATAGGGGAGGATTCTCTTTCTCTCTCTCGCTTGCTCGCCCAAGCCTCTCTTTCTTTCTCTTAGGTTTTTTTCCAATTTACAACCCTTGCTTTTTGCTTTTGATTGGGATTTATTTTATGTGTAAGCAATTTTAGACTCCTCCGTTTTATCGTTTGAAGCTCTAATATAATAAGTGAATTATTTTGTTAGTGGAATTATGGGCCGAAACCCACCACGAGATATTTTTAGTTGCAGGCTTCTTTATTCGTATTTAATCAGATGTCCTTGCATGAGGCTTTTGCAAATTAATAACATGGGACGTGCAATTTGAATGACACTCTTTGTGCGCTTGTAAGATAAAAATAAAATCTGCAGTGGATTTTTTTTTAATAATTTTTTTCTGTCCAATATACAGTTAATTAATTTAAACATGATATAATTCATATGGTAATAATAATATATAATAATAAAAACTATTAAACAAACTTACTTAATTATTTTGAAAAAAAAAGTAAAATGAACTAAATTTGTCATGTTTTCATCTAAATACTGTTTTTTTAATAAAATATATTGAATTGAAAAACTTTTGTATTAAATTTATTTTATTTCGTTGGATTTAATTTTTGTTTTATAAACTGAAAAAAATTGTTTTAATATCATTAAAGATAATAATTAAATTAATAATTTTTTACAATCAGCACAATCTATTTAAGTAGGCTTTTATATCAAACTAATTCAGTATTACACTCATGCAATTACTTGAAAATGTATCTCTAATAAGACGCATAGTGGCAATATTGATACAGATAATATCTTCTTTATAAAAATTTAAAAAATCAGTCAAAATACAACAGCATTTCCTTTAAAGTGAAATTTCATTATGAATATAATACAATAAACTCCAACCAATTTTTTTGGCGAGGGGAGGTCATTTTCAGAACCAGGAGCTCTTTAGTATCCTAATATTACTAATTGTGTAATATTATATTTTTGTTAAATTGCGACAAACATTATTTGGCTTAAAATACTATAAAAATTCTAGTCACCCCTAACAAAACAAAAGTAGATAATATGTCGCATCAAGCCATCAAACAAATCATCATTTAGAGTTGCAGGAAAATTGAACTATTAGATTTTACTTTTAATGAAATTTATATGATAGATCAAAAAGAATTAGGTCGATATATTCAATGCATTTTCAGATTTTCAAATGATTCCTTTTTATATTGCAATGCTGGTGTGCCAAATAGGGAAAATGAAAACAAGTAAAACAACTTGACTATTTTTGTGTAAGACAATTCATGAAATTTTTATCAATTGCATACTGGTACCCCATTTAGCCGTACAGCAGATTTCATCCTGATTGTGAGTGATTTATTTAAAAATAGACACAATAGTTACGAATTTGCAAGAGTTGCATGTTGGATAGTCGCAAGTCGCAACCTATATATTGCGCTAGGGGGTATGTCATCGCCTATTATGCCGGCAGTTGGAATAGCGCGAGACAGTATGGGAGCTTTTCCATGCAGCACTCGGTCGGTCGCTCGCGCATTAATCCGCCAGCACCATTATTATGAAAGGAGCGCGCGAGGGTCATTGACTATGTGCTCGGCGAAATCTAGGCCCCAGGTTCGACGCCCCATCTCGGTGGGTCGGTCGGTCGGTCGGGGCGCCGTAGTAAACCGGGGTTCACAGCACCACCTCCCAGGCTCCACCCCCGGCGAGCACCAACCCCGCGAGCACCTCCCCTTACTCTCTTCTGGAGAACCGACCGTCGACCCCGCGCCACTATTTTTAACCCGGCGGCGACGACCCAACCCCACCGCGCCGAACAAACTCCGACGCCGCGCTCGCACGGTCCTGGACCTTTCCACCAAAAATCGTACACGGGATACACGTGAATCTTCTCGGTGCGCTGGTCAAATAACTAATGATCAAGCTTTAAATCACTTTAGATGAGATATTCATCTATGCTTTAACATTTTATTGTAAATTTATGTTATGGAGAAAAATTATTTAAAACAATTAATATTAATTTATTGTTTTTAAAAGTAATAAATTTTATTTTTTAATGCGGAAACTTTTATAATATTTGTCTTTTATATTCAACAATCAATGATTTCATATTTTCTTATACTGTTTATTTCATTACAAAATCATCTACTTTCATTTACCTCATAAAAAAAACTCCAAAAAAATGTTGTTTCAAAAAACTTTAATCCTGATTTTCCTTGTTTATATTAATAAAAAAAAAATGCTCTGTTAATTGATTTGTATCAAAATAATCACATTTTTTATAAATTAAATTTCCTGCGAACAAATATCAAATAAAAACTAAAAGATTTTCTTGCTAACTCAATTTTTTAGCTATTGATTAAATAACTTTTATAAGGCAAATTTGAACGTCACGTTTGCTTAAAACCTCATTTTTAGTGAAGAGACTTTTTTAATGAGATTTGTGACGTTTCCCAAATGAATAGACGCTTGTGGCTCTCATTAGATTAGAAAAAAGTAAAATAAATATTAATTTGAATATTGCCTTCTGCACCCCTTATGAAGGGCATAGGCCGTCGGCCGACACGAATTAGTCTTGGCCTGACCCTAATAAGATAACATTGAAAAGAAAAAATTATTTTGCTCGTTTCACATCAAGTTTAAAATTCAACAATTTTCCACAAATTGGGAAATTTTACAAACTTAAAAGTTGTGAGATTAAAAAGTTACTGTGCTTTTCAATTAAATTCACTATTCCAAAGGAAAATTAAGATATTAAAGGTCAAATTATTTTCATATATATATATAATAAAATAATTAGAAAATAAACAGTTTTCAATCGCATACTTTCTCCTTTAATTAAACCTCTTCACATAAAGTAGGCACAAAAGAGACAAATAATGTAATAATAATTTTGTGCTTTTCAGAATTAAGAGATTCTTAAAAAATAATTTATTCCAGTTTAAAAGGCAATGTGGCTGCAAGTTAAAATTATTGTTTGCTAAGTCTGTGTACTTTTAATATTTTTGTTTAAACTTATCCATATTGAATTGAGTGAAGGTGGTAAAGAATTAAAAACACTTTTAGAAAATATTTTCTTGTAACCCAAAAATTTCCAAGAAATGAATTAAATATTAATTTCTTTTTAAAGGCAGGAAACTTCAATTATCGATTATCGTCTTCTGTAGATTCAGATCAAATATTAGATTGGAGAGAGTGGTGATGAGTGATGAAGAGTGAAGAGAGCTTTTCATAGTGCGAGTAGGTAGCTCCGAAACAATAAGTTTGCACTATTGATACACATTTGGCACCTTTTTATGCAATTGGCACTTTATAGCTTTCAATTCGAATTGCGTAATGGTGAGTGATGTAACAATTTTATTTTCAAGAGCATGCTTGCTGGCACACAATTTCTTCACAATCAACGGCCAAACACTAACAATGCGGTAGCGCCCGCGTTAAATCATTGCGTAAGCACCAGAGTTGCAAGCGCCACAAATAATACGCCGGTCTTTTATTTCCATTGCCGACTTCCAATTATCAAACTGCTGCACATTTTTTCCATCAGCTCACACCCTAGCAACAGCTCAAAATTTATCAATTCAAGACTGCCTTGAAGCGGAAGGATATTTGTTTTTAATAAAAAACAAATTTGTAAGCTTTAGTCTGAGCTTTTATTATATTTATTTATATACTTTTTCATAAAAAAAATGTCAAGAAACAGAGAGAACTGTCTAAAAATGCTAAAAATAAATTACCATAACATAGTGGAGCTGCAATTTATCTATAATTAATTGTCCAGTGGGCCATGATAATTGTCTAAATTAACCAGAGTAATTTTGCATGTGCTTAAAATTGAAGTTTCTTCTAATTATGGGAAATGCTCTTATTTAAAAACTGCTTACATCTATTATGTAGATCGTGATCTGCAACACTATACACTGATTAGCATGGATTGAAACATATTTTCTGTACTCCATCTATCTTAAAAAGAATCATCGTCGCCCAGCAGGTATAATACAATATACGTTACATACACAGAGAACACGGCGCTTTCAATTTTATCTTATATGCACTATAATGCTTAACACAACACTTTGAAGTTGGACCCTACATGTGTAATAGAGTTGTAGTTAAAAATATTTCATCATTTGATTGATCCTTGAAAACGAAGAAGAATCTCTGGGACGGCAAATAAAAGCAATCAATAATACTTGTGGTACACAAGAGGAGGTCCAGTCCGTACATTAAGAAAATTGAAACGAAAAATTTCACGATTTTTTAATTAAATTAACCAAGACTGTAGAATGAGAAGAACAATTTTGTTGAAAATTGGAAAGTTCTCATTTTACAACCATTGTCTTAAAAAAATAATAACTTCCAAAGGTAAACTTGATCTATTTTGCAAATAGATTATCTTGAACAGGTCACATTGTGATGCTGAACCATTTTTTCCATCTAAATAATGCCTTATGAGTTAGTTATCCAATTTCAAAATTTTACAAGAAACCGACATCTATGTAATTATAAGGACATTCAAATCCATCATATTCGTCATCCATTAATTCTAAACTTGAAATTTCCTCTCAAGAAAATTATTGTACTCAAAGTCAGTACTGCATGTTTTTAGTTTTGCTAAGAATTAAAATTTGTTTTCCAATGTGGTCCTGGAAAGCTCAGATTGTGTCGTCTTTTTGTGAAGGCTCAGTGGTTATTGAACAAACGGTCCAAAAGGAAATCAATCTAATTGCATCAATTCCCTTTAGGGATTACAATTTCAAGCCACACACTTTTAAGCAGAGAGTAGAGTACAATCAGAGAATTGGTTCTGTTTGCAAATCAATATACAATCGAGAGGAGATCAAGATCAATGTAAAATTATTGCACCGCCCATCGGGTGGACGGCAACGTGCACAAAAGTTATAATCCTTCCTGCGTGTGAATCAGTCAACAGAATACACAAAATATATTCTCTATGTTCAGAGCATTACACAATTACGAAATTCAGTTTTTAAAAAAGCAAGCCTGGAAGTTTGGAAATACAGGTTGTGTAAAAAATTTCAATCTTGATTTGTTTTAAATGCACGACCATAATTTAAGTGGCAGAGCCACTTTGTCCAAAGTTTGAAGACAAAAATTGGTCTTTTCTCATTCGCCCTTTAGACTTTGGCGGCATTCGGTGAGCCGTGGATGATTTCGGCATACTCGGTCTTCTCGTCGCTCTCTTTGATGACTGGCGGTTCTCCAGGTTTCTTCATCTCCAATTCGGCGTAGACGACGCCATCAGAACCGGTTTCAGGGGCAGTTTTCTGCTCTGCAGCCTCCACATCCTTTGCTTCCTCTTCACTTGAAGGAACCTGCAAAGTTTGATAAACAAAATTAATCAAACACATTTGAGGGTAAAGAAAAATATTATTTACTTTGGTCTCCAAACACAAATGATTAGATATCTAGGATTTTAGGATCCATTTTTAAATTAAAAAGTATTAAAATATTAATATTCAAATCTTATTTTTTAATGTGACAATTAAAACGTTCATTATTGATTATTATAATTTTTATTAAACTTTTTGTTGCATTATAAAATGACTAACAAAGAAATTGATAATTTCTAGATATTATTATAAAAAGAGTTTAAATTTAATTCTCCCAATAATTAATTTATGTTCCATTCTTAATTTTTATTTTAGTGCAACCTATAGAATTAAAAAAAGAAAATAATTTTGAATTGATAATGTAAGGGGAGTGTTTCCTTTCTTGGATTAAAACTTATAGAAGTATCTAGCAAATTTTTCAAACATAGTCTTTTAAAATATTTTTACTTTTCCCCCATTTACCTTTGTTGAGGTCCTGAAGCTGTTGATTTTTTCTCGGAAGAAGGTTTGGATGCGAATGCCCATATTGCGGGCAGCGCTGGTGGCTGGGACCTTGTCTGCACTCTCCGTGTCACTACTGTGAAGAACGCCACCACTGTATCAGGCAGAGAGAACAAAATGCACACTCAATCAATGAAAACCAGGCTGTGTGAGTCGAGCGACAGAGTTCTAGGAGACATCAACCACACCGTTTAACCATCACCACATCACCATTACAAATCACTTTTCATTTTTTTTCCTCAAGAAAGACATTTTTTACACACAGAGAGAAAGAATAAATAATATACAAAAATAAATAGAACCGGCCGGCTTTATTTTGGTCAGAGCCAGGCGCGGTAGAGAGTTCAGCATGCTTGCCTTTCTTCTTCGTCAATATTAGTTTCAAGCACAACGGCCGTTGGCTCGTTATTTGTTAGGTATAAGGATTTAGGTTGGGTGTCAGCGGCCGAAGCTTCCTCCATGGTGGCCACGGCCTTGTAAGAGGTTACTTGAGACAACCAGCCTCCGGATTTTGCTGCGGGATCCTCAAGCCTGGTGAACGAGTGGCATGCAAGTTTAGTAAAGTCATGCATTAGTTAATTTTTTTGGTTAGTTAAAAAAATTAATTTTCTACTACTTTTGACTAAAAATCAACTAAATTCTTCTTAATCTACCGTGCAATTATTATAAATGAATTTTCTAAATTTTGGTGCATTTTAAAATCAAATAAACCGCCTCCATATGTTAGTGTCCTGCATTATTTAAAGCAAATTCTCATAAAGCAGAATTAGATCTTTAATAACCAAAAGACCCATTAATTGTTTTTTGCTTTCAACTTACGCCTCCTTATCTCCTGCGGTAGGAACTCCGGCTGAAATGAGTTTAGTCAATTAGATTAATTATCATGTACCCTGCAGTGAAACATCTCAAATCAAATTTGGAAATGGTTTCAGATTATTTTTACTTAGAATGAAAAGAATTTGGTTTTGAGTCAAGTGTGAATTATTGTAAATTCACACTAGGCTCTCCAGCCGTGCAGTTTTGTTTATGATTTGAAGGGAACATTATCTTTATTGTTAAATAATGATGAAGTTGACATAATACACTTTTCTTTTACATTGCAACACTCTTATTCTTTCTCGTTACATGGAAATCAACGCTGATACTTATACGAAGCGGGTGTTTGTGTTCGAGTGTGATTGATTAATAACGGTAAAATACAGTATGGCCTCTCTCCTCACCGGTAATAATCGATATTTTTCAAATACAATTATGATAAATTTTCTGAACTCGTAAAACTCTTCATTATATTGAATCTCTTTAAATATTTGTTTAGTCTTGACCATGGACACATAAAATTTGGAATAACTGTTAACAGGTTGTTCCCATTCGCGTAATACAACATCTAATCTAGGTACCTAGGCCATACATTAACCAGTTTTTTAAAATTAGATAGATCTGTGAGATTCACAAACCAGGAATGATCTGGTAATATCTTCGCATCTACTCTCAGCGTTTTTTCATTGGTTCGTAATTTCATTTGGATTGGAATTGGCACAATTATTGGACCTGATGCACTGAATAATTAAAAGAACAAATTGATCAAAATTAATTGGGGGGGGGGGGGGGAAACAACACACAACAATCTTGTTGGAGGGACAAGCAAAAAATAATCATTCTTGACTCTCGCTCGCAGGTAAAAACTTAAATCTAAAAAGGAATTTTCGTCAATTATGTAACTATAGTAGCAGACACTATATCACTAACTTTTCTTAAGCAGTAAAATCACCACTGCGACCACACTTCGGTTGGCATTTGGGCCGAGAATTTTGGCGGCAACCTCCGAGTGGCCGCAACGGTTAAAAGATGCCAGTCTCTGGCATGTGCGTGATGAAATTCCGCGACTTGATAAATATAATAGTAATTAATTTCATTAATTCATTCAATTGTCGCTGGCATTATTATCTGAAGCCATTTTTCTAATCTTCCATGTACAAATATACCAGAGCTCGTAATTTGGTTTTACAATGCATGTAAGTATGATACGGTCAAAACAACAAAGCGGGTTCACAAATTCACATTTATATTAGCCCTTTCATGACTACACCTAATTCTTTTTCTTTGTTTTCGATAACAGCTGCGTTACATACTCTCGCATTTTTGCAAAATTGTGCACCATTATTTACATGGCTGTGATTTTGAATCAGCTTGGTTTGTTTGTAGGAAAGTGTCGACAGAAGAGTGGAGATTTTATTGGACTGAATGATTTTTTGGGCAAACTAAGAGAGTCCTCTTGGAATGGGACTAATTTAAATTCTCTCCTGCCGACTCGTCCAATAAATAGATCTTCTACTTGCTCTGACAATTACTGAGTTATAACAGATGCTGCTTGAACGCTGCTAAATTTAATATCATGATTGCAGATCGAAAGTTATTATTGGTTGTTCGTTATATATATAATATATATTTGTGACAAAAATAATATCTTGCGCTTGGAAATTGGAATGTTGTTGCTGGCAGCTGCTAATACACACAAAATGTACAATCAACACAAGTCTTGTAAATTAAGTATATCAAAGAATGAGACACAATGAGAGAAGTAGTGCCTTTACAAAAATAAGTGCTAGAATTCATGATATTTTACCCATCCATCTCATGAATACAGTAACTTGAACATTTTGAGATTGCGTTATTTTGTCTTAATGAAACACTTTACAGGCTACAAAATGAAATTGATGATGAGACAGCCTTTCCACATTACATATTTTTTCTGTTGATTTTGTTTAATTTTAAACTTTTGCTTTTTTTGAGTGGTTGTTTTATCAGTGTGAATTTTTCTTTTTAAAACTTGTTACCTCGGCTAGGCTACAATAAAATTTTGTGAGCTTCGTAACAGGCTGTGCTAAGGTCTACTGCAATGAAATGTGTCTTTAAAATTAACATCGTATTACACTGGAGTGTCTTTGTCTGCTTTTTTACCGTTGGATTTGAGGTCGGCGTCGCTGATGACTTGATATTGCGGCGGTTCATCATCGTGATGGTTCGGGTTGTCGTTACCTGCATTCTTGTCTTCAGCTTCAAACTGCGCCTCACTGTTAGAATGATTCTCTCTTCCCGCTCTCTCTGCAAACACAAGAAATTTTTACTTTCAATGAGGCAAGTGTCTTTTTAATTGTATTTGTTCTTTCCTTTTGTTTTCTTTCTTTTTAAAGAATTTAGCATTAAACGTCTAGAGGTAAATAACCAGTCACCATAAAACAGTTTCCAACTAAACTCTACTGGATATTTGGTTTACATTAATCGACATTTAGTAAGAACTTGCCTTCACGTCAAAAGTAATCAAATTTCTTGTATTTTACTCATTCACCTCAGTGGTGAATCCGTTTACATCAAACGTCTTCTCCGTACGTGTTCTGATTGACAGGAAAGCAAGCAGAATTTTGTGTTTTATTTAGACTGAGAGACTCAGCGCCAAAAGAGTGGCCTCCTGTCATGAGATCGAAGGAGCAGAACGACATGCATGTGGGGGTAACATTTTTGGGAAGCATGCAAGGATCACAAATAAAAAGAGCAAAAGCCACCATTATTATAATGCTTTGAGTAAGAGAGCTAATTGTCTAAATTTCTTTTCATTTTGAGTGCATGTGACATTGCAGTGAAAAATGTAGCTTTTTGCATGTTTCAGAACATTCAAATAAATTGATTAAAAAAAAAAACATTCCAAAACAAAAAGTTTTTAAACACTGCCAAATACATTTTTTTCTTCAGAAAAGTAACAATAGATGCATGAACTAGATCTATAGAAATGACAATTATTCATAAATTTTTTCTTCTTATGTACATCTCTTAACAGCTGCCAGACAAGGACAACAAAAATTATGTTTCGGAATTGGGCGGTACAATCTTGTCTGCCAACTGAACGATGAGGGGGTCTAGGAGACAAGCATGAGTGGAATATCATAACTGTCACTAAAGTGCTCTAGGCAAAGTGCGCTCAGACAAATGATTCAAAAATATATAAATCTAAAGTATTGCAAAGCTGAAAATTAAAATTTTGGATCTTACTTTTCTGTATAATCAACTTTTTCTATCCAAAGAATCCAATGGCGAAGCAATGAAAGGACAGAAAAGTTTACATTTAGTTAGTAAGTCATTGAGAAAAAACTAAACTACAATGTTGTGTTCGATTATTGCCATTTGCCTTCAAATTTGAGGATTAATTTAGTTAATACCATGTGAGAAAGTTTTTGAAACCATTTCCAATTGATCGTTGCTTTGGCGGGGAATTAGCATTCATTACTTACCGGCAAAACACCAGCGACCAGTGCTGCGAGCGAAGAAGGTAAGGAAGATGGCTACGAACACAATCAGGACAGCCACAATGATGGCCACAATGGCACCAGCTCCCAAGTCAGCTGGAAAAGTAATCAATCAGCAAGCTGCTCAAAATTAATTTAATTTAAAATTACTTTCTTCAACAGTAGGATTAGCTTCAAAGGAGATCTTGACCTTGTAAGTCTCTGAGCCGAGTTTGTTGGTTGCTGTCAGAGCGAATTCCTTCTGCTGGTCTTCCTGCCTCACTTTGTCAATCAAAAGCTCAGCTCTGTATGAACCATCCTAAAATAATTCATGTTTAATTAATCAGTCTTGTCAATAAAAAGAATCATATAAATTAATAACATAAATAAAGATTGGAAACAAAACATACTTCGTTCATTTGAATCCTGCTCTGGTCCATCACGGTTTTGTAGGCAACATTGTCTGGAGAGACGCCATCAATCTTCCAGTCAAATCTGGGTTTCGGGTTGGCGAAGACATCCACGGAGATGATTCCCTCAGTGCCTTCCATGAATCCAAACTTGTTGACTTGTTGTCCGAATTGACTCGCAGGCTGTGGCTTGAAGAAGACGACCAGAGTTTTCTCGGTGCTCCTGACATCATCCTCAGAGAGGGCCTGGTGAGTGGCTCTGCAAACCAGTTTCTTGTTGTTGTCCTTGTAGTTGGCAATGCGGTTGTGGTTGACGGAATCCGAAGTCCTTTGGCTTTGGGCCAGGGTGTTGTTGTCTGAAATAAATAAAATTCAATACAGGGTCAAATAAATTTAAGAAAATATTTTACCAAGGAAGAGGGTGACTGTTGGTGCCGGCCTGGCACCAGAAGTTGAACAGGTCATCACCATTTCCTCTCCCTCCTTGTACTCCGCTTTGTTGGTGGTCAGATCGATTCTGGTGGGAGGGATGGCCACCGTCAATTGAGTGAATCCGACACTTTCAAGTTCAATGTCAGGGTAACTGACTGTGCAGGTGAAGTTTCCGTGCATGTTTTCCTTGACACTGTAAATCTTGATTCCGCAGTCTCCATTTTGGAAGCCACGACCAGAGTACTCGAGATCGTCCCTCTTGGTGTTTTCCTTGATCTTGATGCTGGTGGTGCCGAACTTGATTCCGCAATAGTCAATTGGCCTGGCGACCCTGCAGACGAACTCGAAGGGATCTCCAACTTTGACCACCTTTTCCCTTTCAACCTGGACTTTTGGTGGCGCCTGCGCTATGACAGAGGCTGAAACAGAGATAAAAAGACGAAATTAGACTTTTGATCAATCAAAGCACTAAAAGGGCGGGAGTGACATTTGAGTATAATTGATCCCGGTCGAGGGTCACCCACGGTACCACATTTCAATGCTAGGCCACGTACAATGAAAAGGGAAATCGGCTGACGAAAGTGGTCTATCAAGAATTTCTTTTCCCTTTGATGATGCTCAGTAACAAATACGAAGCGCGGCCACAATGCCCAGTGAGGGCTGCTCTGCCTAAGGGTATAACAATGCAAGCATTGTTGTGCATGGAGTGTGACTCAAATATTAATAATGGCGAGCACGCCTATTAACCGCCGAGCTGCACGACCCGGGCTTGTCTTGATATGCATTATGAAAATGCTAAACAAGACTGTGAATAGAAAGAAGATGTTATTTGCGTACGAGGCATTATTTAATATTCTCGGAAGTCCGGTCTGAACACGGCGTGTTACATGGAAAACGCTTGATAGTGACGTTAAGCGATATTTAAAATGTTGTCAGCGTGGAATACAAATTTGACGGGAAAAAGTGACAAATTTGGGGAAAATTATTGCTGCCTGATGGAATTTTAATAGCTTCAAATACAATAGTTTTAGTTCGGTTTTATTTTTATAGATCTTTTATCTTCTATGCCAAAGTGCTTTTTTATAATTTTGAAGCGCCAGAAATGAGCAGTTATAGTTTTCCTAAGTGCTTTTAATTCAATGCCGTGGTTACAAAAGAAAAGATTCACTTTGCGCGGGGGCAATTCATTTGGCTCACTTAACGCAAACAGTTTTGCAGTTTTAATCTCTCCAACCGCCCCTCGGTGCCTCTTGAAAAAAAGCAAGCGTGCCGAGAGCCCCTTTTGTTTTGCATACGATCTGCACTCGAGCATGCATTAGAAAGAGCGTCGGAGATCAGGCCGCGCACCCTCGCATATAACAAGTCAAATTACAAGAAAGCCGCCGTAAATTCGGCAAGACCAATCCCCTTGCGCAAGTTGTTGTTGCGTCCCCAAAGTGCATCATCTTGGTCTGGGGGGTCGCACAGGCTCCATTTCGGTAATCATCCAGAGCCGGGCGGGCCCGCCGCCCTTTTGTAATTCAATTAAATCGACCGGGCACACAAAGCTCATGACCAGTGTCGGCTTTCATTCATTTTTAATAAATACATCGACCCAAGTACAAGGAAGAAGAAAATACATCCAGGACGGATATTTTCATCTTTTGCTCCCCTTGGACGCGAAATACAGAGGCAGGGGGGAGAGAGTGATGATCTCGCACCAGGGCAGGGCAGGAATGCGCGGCGCCACTCGCTCGCCTTTGGTACAAAATCGATTTTGCTCTGGCAGTGCGCTGGCTGCTTTTTCGGGTGAAACTCGAATCAACGCTGTATATGTCGCACGCAGCCACTCTCCTAGGGACTTTCATTCAGCAGCCGCACCACGCCCATCCGTGCACAACCGACTCCGTGCAAATTTGCAAAATATGTTATGTGTTATATTTTCGAGGAATGCACCGACCGCGGCACACAATAGGGCAGTCGTGCCGCTGGAAAAATGCGAAATGGCGGACGTGCCTGCTCGCTTTTCCGTTCCGCCGTGCAAAATTGATGAATATAAAATTCACGCGAGAAAGAAATACTCATGAGAAGCAACAATGGGAACTTGGGTGAAATATCGCCGGTCTCGGCCGGTTGTATCAATTTTCTGACTGACGTCACCACTTAAGTGTATAAAAAAGCAACAAAGCGTTTTTCTCTCGTACTGCGCGTTTCCCCAGCACGATATTTAATCTTGATCGACGCACCCGCATCTCTCTTCGAGGGATGCGTGACTTTGATTGAGATTGAATTAAAACGCAAATTTATATAGGATGACATTAATTATTTGATGTTAGCCGCACGAGATTCGAAAACTTCAATATCAAATAATAATAATTTAATTAAAAACTAAATAAAACTTAAGTTGTTTTCAAAACCTGAAATTTCTTACAACGTTTGACCTGAGATCTGATTTCTGCTAATAAATAAATGATTAATGTGCTAGGTTTAAAATACCTTAATACAATTTGCTAAATTTACTAAAAAATAATAGAATATACTTTTTAACACGAGTTGCAAAATGATTTTTTTTTTTATTTCTTATTCATTGAACAAATGATACATAAAAGCATTCAATTTGTTCAGAATTCACTTTCCTGCGAAACAATTCTGACCCCCAATCATATTCCACTTGAATCTGAATAAAAATTCGCTCTGCATGCAACCCCGGAAGCCAACAGACCGACTTTCAATAAGTTTGGCCTCAATTGTCTCCAAAAACGATCGTTTTTCCCGCCTCAATTTTGCAGTTTGCTTATTCTCCCCTCGCTCCATAATGAAACTTGGCACAGCATGTACAGAAGGCGCGAACGCAAAAGGGGGCCAGGTATGTATATTTAAAAGCGCACATGCAATTTCGGTGCAGCTGAACGTAATTGAATTATTAACGCGCGAGTGTAACGTCTGTTGACAACACGCACGGCGCAACATAATGACACCCCATAAGCTCGGCCGCAGGGGTTTCCTTCATTACCGAAAGCCGCGGCGGCGGCGACTCGCTTTGCGCGAGATAAATAATCTTTGTTTGCACTCGCGGCGTCCCCCGAAGCCGTATTCAGCGCAAATCTGCCGCTGGCCGACGCCCGGCCGGCCCGAGAGGTCTGCATAAATTTGGGGCGGTGGCGGCTGCAGCTCTCTCGTGTGCCACTTTGCCCCAGTGGATGAAAATTTCGGCCAGATGCCGCCGCCACCAAGAGTAAATGCCGGCAAATGTCTCTTAATTTCGACGGGGTGCCGCAACATGTCTTAAAATAAAGCTACCCACATTCATTTTCCAAATTCATCTTTAAAATTAAATTTTAATTAAAAATTATCTTAATTGAAGAAGGTTCTTTCTACAGAGAACTTATAGAAGCTTAAAAATCAGGAGATAAATAAATAGATTTTTTTTTCTTTTGCGAGAAAATAAAGCAAACAGTTTCACAAAAAGCTCTAGATTTTCATGAAATTTAAATTTGAATATAAATTAAAGGATGTTGGAACATTTTCCACAGCTAACAATTTTTAAGTTTACTTCGAAACGCTTCATTTGCTTATGTTTCCTTTTGAGACTAAAAGCGAGACCTCAATTTCAGGGGCCATTTGTCAAGCAGTATTGGGTTTCGCGCCCCCAGAGCGAAGGCCATCTGCGAGCGTCTTTCCTTATGCACACATAATAATATCTCGGTATACAAGCAGAAAAAGAAGAAGTTGTTAAAATCAAAATAGCATTCAGTGCGCGAGCAAAGAAAAAGTGACCAAAGCGAAGCAGAGGCGCTGCGTGCGCGTTTTGTTGTCGCCGCACAAAGAGTTGCTCTCTCGCTCGCGGTGGGGTAGCTCTTCAATGGGGTAGCGCGAAAGTGTCACGTGCAGTTTTCACGAAAATAGATCTCTTTCTCTCTCGAACGGCGCAAAATGATAATTCATGTCCGGTGACGGTTCCGGGCCAACTTAGCTCGCCGCCGCGAGATTCGGGTGGGCATTGTTCGTTGCCAGGATCGATCAACAGTTTGACAAGCCGAGTTTATTATCGTGGCCTCCTTCGTTCGTTCTCGTTTATTTGAATTGGGCTGAATTCACACCAGAACTAATGTGGAAAAATAAATGTATAATTCCTGTGAACAAATTTGAATACAAATACTTTTGGGAGAATACTTCCACCTTTCAGTAGCTCTAGAATTATTTTTTCTCTTTCCGAAACACAAACTACTTTTTCTTCTCAACCACATTTAACCATAAATTTCATGACTAGAGTTATGCCTGTTATGCAATGCGGATGAAATTTATGGAATTTCAGAGCCAAAAATGTGTCTGGCTCTGCAAATATTTTCAGGCCAGACAAGACAGAATTTATATTGTGGTGATAATTCTGAAATTGACACGGAGTTTGCAACGATTTGAGTGTAGCAAAACGATATTTAGTGATAATATTTAAATATACATATTTGCTATAAATAATTTCAAATACAAAATGAAACTCAACTTTATCGATCGTTATTATAAATTTTTTTAATAATATTTTTTTTAAGTCACAAATCGTTGAAAATCATTTTAAGTCTTCCGTCACCTAAGAAATATCAAATTAAATATTTTTTCCTTTTAAATTTAACTTTTTAGATTTTTTATGCCACTTTTAATCAAGTCATTTTTGCAAATTGTGAGCGGCGAAGAGCTCGTTTTCTCTCGTTTACATGTCTGGGAGCGAAATTCTGATGCAAACTGGGTTAATTGTCAACCGCGGCGCTTCGATGCAAATTGCAGCGAGAGAGCTTTGGTCCACGTTAATGAAGAGGCAGGCTCGTCACTCACTCACTCTAATTAAAATTCAGTCCTTTCAAACCGGCGAGATTAATCCGTTGAAAACGGAAAGTCACGTTCAAATCCATAAAAGAAGCTGTGCTGAATAATAAATAAAGCGAAAAAAGGTAATATAATAATAATCCTTGCAGAAAGCAGCAAGAAGAAGTGACGTGCGAGGCGAAAAATGCCGATCCGGCCGCGCCTGCTGTTCCAACAGAGAGGAGCGAACGAAGAATAAAAAGAGAGAGACATACATCACGGCGTTAGCTCATCGCGTTGAATGTGAGAAAGGTAATCGGATCTGCAATGTCGAATGCAAAACGCGCTCTTTTCACTAGAAGCTAAAATAATATCCGAGTACCAAGATGTAATTAGAGCCCACGCTAGCCTCGGGTTTCACGTTCTTATTCTTACTCTTGCAATAAGTAGCTTACACACACTTGACCCTTTTTTGCTTAATACTTTCCTTTTTTCTGCATCCCCTGCCATATCAGGGGTTACGCGAAAATCGTCACACTTCTATATTTACTTTCCTTTGTCTCTCGCGGTGGCGCAGACATTGAGAGAGAAAAAACGACGCCATCCACTTTTGCCACGCTCCAGGGAAATTGGATTCGTGCAG